TTGACGTATAGTTTTTATAGAAACTTGAAGATGTTTAAGCTTTTTATTAGCACAAATAAGAAGGAATTTGTAGAGTTTATTTTCTCTCAAATAAAAAACAAAATGTTTGTTTTCATGTTCCATACAAATTTAAGACAAGTTCACAAGGTGCACATGGTTACATGAATAATTTAAAAGTAAAATTATTAATTTTCAGGAAGCACTTATATAGCAATTTGAGATTTAATGTTTAAAAAATAGATGTGTAGTAGAGTATTTGGTGTACATTTAAATTGTAGTTGGACAAGTTTATGCAGGTATAGGAAAATAATCGAGGTAAGACACCACTTTATAATGTGTAATGACAATGCTATGAATGCTTGGTTATTAGGTGCCTACTTATTAACATCATACATATAATTTTAAATATAATACTTATCAAACTAGTTTTACTTTAATTTTTTTTTTCATGTTTACCAAAAATTATATATTTTAGTGAAATCTTATGTGGACTTTTATGATTATAAAATAACTGTATACCACGGTAGATTGACTCTCCAATGGACTTTTATAAATAAATAAAAATATTAATTTATGTTTCATAATTGGATTTATTCATATTTCATAATATCCACGACCGTAATATACCTATTCATAAGTACTTAAATTTAAATATTCGAGTGAAGTAAGTAACGTGACACATTTTATTACGTACCATAGTCGGATATGAAATATCCATCAAAAACAAATGTTGCCAAAGAGTGTATGGTCGTTAAAAAACACTATTAAACGTCATAAAAAAAGAGAAATAAGTAAACACTTTTTCCTAGAAAAAAACGTGGCTATATATATATATATATAWATAAAACTACAATATTTGCCTCGGCGCTTGAATGCAAAAGAGTTTTTACAGGAAAAACTGTAGACTTTACTGTATGACCAGACTCAGTAAAAACTTTGGGCAATGGAGTAATAAATAAAAAAATATAATAAATATAACGTAGCTCGACAATACTAAAAGACGAGGGGGTTCTTTTGAATAGAAAATTATTAGTGGACTAAATTTCGTTATATTTTCTTGAAATAATAGCAATTTTTCATCGTATTTTCTAATGAACTACACACGAAAGAATAATGTGCTTGAAATTATTAAAGAAGAAAGAAATATTTGTCATGACAATTTAATTAAAACTGATAATTTTCTTATGATAAAATTGATATTAATTTATTTATGTAATTCTTACATATATATTGGCTATAGTTTTATATGGCAACTACTAGCATACTGCTAAACGTACCTATTATAATCTTAGGTATTATTAATTACTAAATAATATTTATGAACAAAGTATAAACGACTTTAAAAATATCGGTATAGCTTATATGTATTTTCTAAATGTAATAACAATTATTAGTAATGCTAAACTAAAAACGTTAATTAAAAGGATTGAATAATAAAATAATATGGTTTATCAATGTGTATTAATCGATTCTCAATTAAAAAAAATATTACTTTTTTTCTTATTCACACTTTTGGTGTACCTACCTACACACTTAGGCTCTTTGTAGAATTGTAAACATGCAAAGTAATTTATGTTATAATGTTATAAAATATTCATATATGAACTGAGAAGTTATTTCCCATAATATTTTGTTTTATTTTTGACAAACTTTATAAATGAACAGCCTTTTATAGTCAATTAGTTATACAAAATAAGTATATCAGTTTGAGTCTCATCCTGTTTTAATTTACTTTAAAACTATTATACAGCGGATTTTATGAACTAAAAAAATATATCACACCTTTTAAAGTTTTAAATGTWTAGCACTGCAGGATTTTCTTTATATTTCACGAATAGTAATATTACGGGTATGTATAATTATTAATTAATAATTATACATCATAATATGCAGGTACATACATCGAATTTATAATAAAATAATATATTTACTGTCTACAAGTAAATGTCTTATTTATAAATTTATAATAAATGATGTCACTAAATCACTTTCGATTATAAAAGGTAATATAGCTCTATATTATTATGTTAAACATTTCTCATTAAACGTATTAAGTCGATATTTGCATATCCCATCAAAATTTTAACTTATAATAGAAATCATAATACTATTAATAATGGTATTAATAACATTATGACTAATCAATACTTTATTAATAACCTAATAGATATTATCATACTATTTATACTTGTCTCTCTACGGTAGAATTCTCACAATTTAATAATAATAATAATAATAATAATAGTAATAATGAAAATATTATGTGGGAAATTAATATTAACATATTTTAACTGGTATCACCGGGTCAAAAACAAAACACATTGCATTTATTATTTTTATTTTTGTTCAATTGATATTAGAATTTAGATTATGGTTTTAGTCACTTATAAAAAGATTGCATCTCATGAAATGATTACAAATACATCAATGTTATGTACGTCGTTATCAAAGACAAAAAACGTTTATCATATACTTATATCTGTTTCTATCTTATATCTGGTATACGTCTAGCATATTATAACAACCAATATTTTCTATAATAATAATAGTAAGTAGTTTGTAATTTTGTAATTATAAATGGCTTGTGCCTTCAATTTATTTTAGAGAAAAAAAATTAAGGAGTTCATACATCATGTTTTTACTTAGAAATAGACCAAATTTTTAAACCAAAAAAGTTTAGTTATTTGTGTGAAATTGTTGGTTGCAAAAACATTGTGAAAATTACTTATATTAGATAAAAAAAAAATGTTTCACAATACAGCTATATTATTYTTAATGAATAATTTTAACTATATAAAATAAACAGTAAAAAAATTAAGTTCAGTAATTATTTATGACCTGACAATACCAGTTAGAAAAATTGAAGATGCAATAATATTACTTACCCGGAAGGCGGCCGTCGAGATTATCATGCTATGTGTATCTATAAGTTGTTTTATGTTATTTTATAAAAACTTCGACGTTCACTTTAAGTTACCCTWGATCGTTTTCGAGATAAATTAACAGATAKTAATGATAATCATGACTATATTTTTAAAAACGGGAAAAACGATGTTTTCGTATCAGGATCGAGACTCATTCTCTCGGTGGGTATAGTGTTTTCCTGACGAAACGTTTAGTCGAAAGGCGTCGCGTACCGGACGATTCGGCGGGTACGGCATAACTGCACTTCCGCGGGTCCGCTGTTTCATGCACACACGAGGTTTTGTGGGGTCATGTGCGCATGCACAGGCTCGCGTTTGGGATTTTTATTTTACTTTTTTTCCTTCACTCCCCACCACATATACATCATAAGTGGTCCGACTATGAATTATAAAATAAAATAATTATAGTAAACATAAAAAAAAAATACTAATAACAAATATACGACGATCAGTTTTTTCCACTATTTCGAGTGCGTTTGACAAGCAAAAAGGAAATAATTTTTTTCGCATACTTACGTATATGCATTTTGAACTCAATGAACRCACAATAAAGCACAACACTGTAATAAAAATCACTGATTTCCAACATGCATCGTTTGGATCGCATCCAAATACACAAATATACAGTATTAAGGTTATTTTTTAACTAGCGCTGGCCATACGTTATTAGTATACGTTCATTGACTGTTTAGTTTTAAATTAAAAATTWAAATATTTTTATTATTGTTATTATTATACAAGGCACGCAATCAAAATATGAACGTTGTTTAAAATAAATAAATAATATGACTTTTATATAGATTTGCCTTAGTCCTAAACATCGAACAATTGTCGYTTTTACGATTTTACACAATAATATTAAGTGATATAATAATATTTATTATTAAACCACAATTATGTTTTGCATTTTTATCAAAATGTTAGTATCAACTCAGTTGGCGTATGTCATGGCCATTCTAATTGTATTGAATTAGTAGCATAAAAATTAATATTGTTTGTTAATGTTATTCACTTATTATACAGTTGGGCTTCATAAAAGTTAAATGGGAATAAATAAAAAATGTTAACGCTACATTAATAAATAATTTGTTTAACTACTAAATAGGTATGTGTTGTTTAATTGTCCTATTTCCAGAGTTTAAAAATGTAAAATTTCTTCACGCCAATTAACAAAAATATAATATAATACAAATGATGGAAAAACTCTAAACAAAACCTCTAATATTCTGTATGARTTTGTTCGATATAAATAGCTATAGTATAAKCCGATTTACTGTTAAACACATTTTTTTACTTACTAATAGTGAATAGTGAAAAAATATATACGTTTCAATCATATATAYATATTTTTTGATATATATATATTTTTTGATTTAGACGATTTGAATTAACTCAAGATAAAATTGTTAAATATGTGTCACGTTATGACGGTGAATGGTGATATAGTGATAGATGAGTAATAAAATCGTATTAGAAAATGATTTAATGTCAATATGTGTTGCGTGTTTGGTACTCATATCGCTTTGCTCATTCTAGAATAGGCTAGTATAGTGTTCACTGTAATGATACTATTTTTAAATTTTTTTTTTGTTTTTAATAAAACAATTTATCATATCATTCGAAAAACTATTCTGATCAGATCCCTGTAAAAATCGCACTGCTAGCTTGATATGAGTTCAAAATGTATTTATGCTTGAAAGAAACACTGAAAAAATCAAAATATGACCTTTATTGACCTAATATAATTACAATATAAACTAAAATCTTTAAAGCTTCTCTTGAAACTTCTGAGTACCCATAGCGGTTCTACCCAAAAACATGATCACAAAAGAACATAAAAAACATTATAGTAAAATCAATACATTCCATGCTTCCCTCAGAATCTAAAAAAATATACATAATATATTGTGTGACATAAAAAGCTTAAAAAATCTAAACTATTCATCCAATACCAAATGAAAAAAATAACATTGTTAGTGATTAATGATAAATCTGTTCAAAGAGGTATTATAGAAATTTGGATGGATTATTATTGATTCGTACATACCTAACTTTACTKTTTTAACTTACTCGTACTTATTTTAATTTTTAGCCAAATCTAACAATTTGTTTATTTAGAGATGAACAAATTTTACACATCAAAAATTATAATCTTTCACATATTTCAATATTTATCAATGATTTAAATTTTTWAAAATAATTAAAACATATGTATGTGGTATACACAACAGTTATTCCAAGAACAGAACAATAATAGACATAGTAGGCATATGAAAAAATATTCGTATAAACTWTTTTATATGGTTACGTATCCTATTGTGTGTATATACATTTTAAGTGGTCGTTAACTCAAATACTTGGTTATTTTTATCAACAATATATTATATTGTTAGAGTTAATTTTTAATGTTATTATTACAAATTGGTGTCAGTGAATAATAAAACTGAAACATGAATAATAAATAACTATTTAAATTAACTGGATTAGAGAACTGGCTTTAAGGAGGTTAAAAATACGTAATTAAATCTAAATAGGAATTCTTTTACAAATTAAAAGTGTGGACCACCTAATGGTTATMACTTGGTTCAAAATTCCATTTAACAACTGCCTCATTCGAGTTCCATCACAGTTATTGAAAAAACAAATTTTTATGTATTACGGATAACAACTTTTTATTTATGATTTGATGTTAATATTTTCTTGATTAGGTACACAAATGTGAAAATGTTATAATACTTGTAACAAAACAAGAAAAAAAAAATAACTATTTAAATTAAAAAACAGTTTTATATATTYTTTATTCTTGATTCTGAGCACTGAGTGATGAATGTTATGGTTTTACAACAATATTATGTGATTTTTGTGCATAAGAATCTTCTTACGTTTTTTTAGCTAGAATTTAAAAAAAAGTTAAGCGTAAAGCCATATGGTGACTTTTCAAGTGATTAAAGTATCTTGATGATATTACATTTTCAAACGTCTAAGAAAAGTTTTGTTATTTTATGATAGTTTAAAAATATTAATCACAGAAATTTTAATAACAAACTATTACTAAAATAAAATTATAATTTTCCACACACAATGGAATTTTAAAAATATTTAAGMAAATATAATATRTAGGTACACATTTTTTTTCGAAATTTCTAGTCATATCGTTTTTCATYATTACACTTTTGTCTATGTTYGTCGAACCAAAGTTAAAGRAAATTTCAAAAAGTCTTTGGAAAAGACCATGCCAGCAGCTCTAATTAGTAATTGTTGTCCAGTAATTATCACCATAATGTATAATTTATTATATAATCTTCATTACACTTAGCCACCGCCAATTGTATACTGGTATAAAAAAACAATAAGTACTATTTGACTTGGRGGATTTGTTCTTAAATGCAGCGTACCTATTTAATCACTTTACGTTAATCGATTAGGATCGCTAATGATAATTATGGCCAGTCGTCGTAGACAATTGTTGAAAATGTGGTTTGAGTTATACCATGACTGTATTACTTTTATGCCACTTAAAATATGTGTTTTGTACGCTATGTAAACGTCGAAAGGGCTGCTCGTGGTTTTCGATGGAAAATTATTTTCAAGAATAGATTAGGTGAAGCATAATATTATTATTGTCACATAACAACATTGTATATTTCTGATGTTCAAAATTTTGATAATTATTATTGTCTTTTGGAGAGTGGTCGTGTTGAGTTTGGGGTTAATGTGACGATAACGTGCTCGTCACTAGCTGTGTTGTCGTAGGTAATGACGGAAAATTTGTAGGAAATACACCCGTCCGATATCCTCGTCGATTTCGACTTGCAACTCAACTCGGTATTATGTTTGCGCATATTTCGTACCAATTTCATTTTAGTGTTATACCATATAATTACAATAATATATGACACGCAGAACCGTTTAAACGAACGCGAATATATGTGTACTGATGGCCAGTTATAATAATAAATATTAAATAATAATATAATAGGGAATGGCTGTTTTCGACCGAAAACGTACCATTCACTTTTCGTCCAAATTTAAAACAGCTTGTTTCACTTTTCAACCAAAATAGTACAAAGAATCGTGAGTTCTTATACGATAGTAACAGGTAAATAATTACATACTTTAATTCTTACATATTTGATATGTAAGTTCCTGCACGAAAAAAAAATAAGCACGTGTGTTAGTTCCTACACGGCAAAAGACAGTCCTCTGGCACACAACAGAGCAGAGAAGACAACCTCTCCTCATCTATTTCATTACTGAAAAAGCTTCTGAAGACCCAAAACGAGATGCAAAACGCTATGTTTACGGAGGTGGACAACCTAGCTACACTCAAGGCAACCACGAGGTTGGACTGAATTAAGGAATCCATCGACAAGGTCGTGGAGCTCTCCAACCAAATACATCAGAATCATCTCCCACTGCACAGCGCACTAAATGTGGTGGCCAAATCGGCATATCCCACGAAAGCTACTTACAATATCCCATCTAACAACGAGGATAAAGACATCAACTAGATTAAAGAGAGGTTCGACGCGYAAGGCTCCAAACTAGAGAAAATAATGGATTACATTCTCCACCCCAAGGAACAAAGCCACCAATCGGAAAAAGCGGCGTAAGTCGAATAACACCAATCCCTCACAGATGAAAGTCAAAAGTGTCACTAACAAGCGTACCACCCCCCCCCCTCCAGATGCGATCGCCGTAAACCCGGTGCAGGTGAGTCGTTTGCTGACATTCTGAAAGCCGTCAGGAAAGATGTCGATGTGGGAAAGACTGAAACCCACATTACCTCCAAAGCATAAATAGAGAGGTTCTAATAACAGTTATTAAAGGGGAAGACAAGAGAGCTGGCCTCGAGACAGCCATAAGAGACAAGCTAGGCGTGCGAGCCACAGTACGCTKTCTGGTGAGATATGTTAYCTTGACATCACTGGGCTCGATGGCGTTACAACYGATACCGAGATTGACGACGCCCTGAGAAAAGCRGCAGGTCTATCACCCACTGACAATTCAGTCAGAATCAAAAGCATCAGACCAGCTGAAAAACGGCATGAAAAGAGCAACTGCCTCCATGAGAAGCACTGACGTCACTTCTATACTCAAGGAAGGCCGCGTAAAAATAGGTCTAGTCTAGGCCAGAGTCCACCCATGTGCCAAAGTAACGAGATTCTTTAGATGTCTTGGCTTCGGGCACCCGAAGTCCAATTGCACTGGAACAGACCACTCTGAAACATGCAGTCTCTGCGC